CGATCAGTCGAAGGGCAAGAAAAATGAAAATTGAAAATGTAATATAAGTATCAGGTACATGCAACCTAGCTAGCGCGCGCGAAGCGCGTGTCCTGCCTAGTTTTCTAAAATCTAGAGAATTTCTTTCTTTTTTGGAGGGGGCATTTCGTAAAGAGGGGGAGGAGGGGTTGTGAATTGAGAATTGACAACCGAAAAAATTGAGTCGGTGAGCTTTTCAACAATATCTCCGAAACTAAGGGAGATAGCGAATTTTTACTGAAAATTTGGCGGAGAGCGAGGTTTTATTGAATTCTCAATGTACAACCCTCCTCCCCCCACTCCTCGTTCCGCAATTTTTCAGTAAAAATTCGTTATGTCTCTCAGTTTCGGAGATATCTCTGAAAACCTCACCGACTCATTTTTTTTGGTTGTGAATTCTACATTTACACCCCCCCCCCTCCGCCTCTTCGCATAATCCCCCTTTCTCACATCTGAAATTTCCGATATTTTTGACACCCCTCCTTATGTATGGGGCACTTACGCCCTTTAAATACCTCGACCGCAATTTTTTAGTTCAATCTGAAAATTTTCTAAAATAAAAAAAAATTCAGCATTGGTTTTTGATAATTTTTGTTCTTAAAAACAATTTTCAAAATTGTTAATTTTTTTGATCCCATCAACGATAAAGCTTAAGAATTGGAGTTTCGAAAATCGCGAAACAAGTTTCTAATGCTAATCCACTTTTTTTCTCTGTGCTGTACCTGCCCCTCCCATTTAACCCTCAAGAGTACACGCCATCGGCTCGGATTATAATGCCACATTCGCCAGATAATGCTTTTATCACCGTGTGGCATACGATATTTTATGTCGTTGGACCCGAAAACCGCGATCTAACCGAGCGAAGCGAAGTTAGAATCGTGGTTTTTTCGGGGCTGACGACATAAAGTAGCTTTTTAGGGTTTACGACCTTTTACTTTTAGACACGCGATATGTAGAGCGACGAGGTGAGATGCCTCACGACCGCCCACGGCTTCAATCGCTGGGAGATGATGAATAGCATCGACAAATTGGTAAGATATAATTGAAAACTTATTTATGAGTCATTACAATTGGAAAACTGTTGAGATTTCCGAGAATTTCACCTGCGGATGACGTCAATTGTCCCAAATTTGAGGAGCTAAAAAACAATTAATTGAGAGAAAATCATGTATACATAAGAAATGGATTCAATGTTGAGATCAGATCATATTAAAATTATCAATCCGTCTTATTAAACCAACTCAGTCCTCTAAAATCATTGCTTCATTATTAAGGAAGAATTAAAGTTGCACTGATATAACGAGGCTTCTTAACTATAGTAATCGCATTAATAGGTTAGAAACCTCGTTAACCGCAACGGTAGACGGAAAAAAAGACCGAAAATGATCGGTCATTTTATCGGCTACGACACACAACGCGTGTTTGTACCCATCGACTATTTTTTCCTTCGGATATTTTTTCGTACATTCAATAGCAACTGAATCCTTCCATCTGTTCTATCAGTGTACAATCGTCAAAATAAGTTCCGCCAGTCCGTGAAGTTAGCTACTGGTTGGAGTATGGAACTGAAACGAAGGAGCGGTTCGTAGCTAACTTCGCGGACTGGCGGAATTTATTTTGACGATTGTACACTCGTTTACTGATGTTTTGAAAACAATCCGAACTTGCATCTCAGGGATCGACGAAAATCACTACTTTAGTAATATTAAAAGAAGTTTACCTGAAATTAATCGAAGTTCACTAATTTTTATTAAAATTGAAAAAAAAATTAATTCTCAATTATTATTAAACAATTAATTTCAAATTTCTGAGTTTAATTCTTCGATTAATCGAATAATCGTTATTCTTCCGAATATGATTACTGATTTATAAAATATTTGACAAAATAAAAAAGTTAATTAGTGATTAATTTGATAAAAAAGGAAAAAATTGTACAATACAGTCAACTGATTTTGTCTATTGATTTTCTGAATTCAATGCAATAATTTCAGTTCTGCATTATGGTTTGGCCTATCTCTGTAGCATCAGATGTATTTCGTTTCAGAACATTAATAAATAATTGTACATGTACAGGTTAGTCATAATTTTCAGAAGAGTGAATTCAATTTAGGGGGAAAAATCAAATCAATGGAGTTCCAAATTTTTCAGCAGCCGAAAGACGAGAATTCTTTAACTTACTTGAATGCCCACTCAGATCGTGAAAATTTCTATTAGTTTTCATAAAATATTTCGTTTTAAATTCAATCTCCGTTGATTTTTAATCAAATGGTGCATTCTTAATACCGAAATTGCTTGAAATTTCAGTAAAACTGTCAATTCATATAAATTTCCAAGAAGTTAACGGAACATTTTCCCTAAATATTTAAAGAATATTTGAAATGCAAATGCTCAAATGTACCACCGGAAAGGAGTCGAAATATATAATATATTTGAATACATTTTCGCATATATCAGTTTCCATATAATATATATAAACTATATGAACCTTCATAGGGGTTGCTATCCGTTATTGAACCACACTTGTACATGAAGAAATGAGTTGCGAAAAAATACCATGAAAATTATCTAAATTTTACTTTTTCTCCATATCATTCCATATTTGTTACTTCCGAATGGAAGCATTGTAACCGTTCAAATTGAAGTTTTGAATTTTTTGTGTTATATCGACCCATTATGAGTATAAAGTTTTTCTTCAATTGTTCGATAATAAATAGATGGAATTGAATCTTGTTTTTTTTCAAAGGTAGGTATTATTGAGCCCTATCGATCGCCATTAATTAAAATTTAATGCATCGATTTGTTTTTTTTTTGTGAATTTTCTAGAAAATTGGTTGTCCCACGACAACTGAAAAACATGTACTGAATTGATTGAATGATGGCTTAAAACATTTGTTTGGATGTCCCTTTGACCGAGTTCGAAGATGAAGGTGACAGCAATAATCGTTATTTTTATTTACTCAAAAATTTTCTAAAATTTTGTATTGTTCGAAAATCAGAATTCCGGAGATATCGTTGAATATCATGCTTCCAATGAATTCAGTCATAGCTTAAAATATTTCTTTCAATGCCATCAAGTCGAAGTTAAAAGATAATTATGATAATTATATTGGTTAATTTGATTTTTGTGATGAATTGTTTAAAGTTTAGAATTTTTCATGGATTTCCCTGAAAGAGAGCTTTCTGATGATTGAAAGACCATTATCTACCCACCAATCATTATCTCCGATTTATTCATAATCGCTGACTCAATGATTCATCAATCGTCAATTGAATTATCAAAATGTCGCCTGCAATAAATTCTATTCCGATAACTTTGATGGCCCTGGAATGAAACATAAGAAAGGGCGTGCAAGGTTGCTAGAAAGAAAGGGAAGTTGAGGAAGCTGGGAAGAGGACGAAGAGACCTCATCCGTAACAAGAATGAGAGGAAAAAACAAAAGAAGAAAAAATTTAAATAAGAGTATAGAGGTGGACTCACGGTGGTCGTGGTGCCCCCCGCCAACCACCCCCCCCCCGGAGGGGGGGCGGAGGAGGCCCCCGCCTGAGGTCGTACCAAGGAAGAAGAAAATGAGGCGATCAGGGTGGGGGGATTCAAGCTTGGAGTCCCGAGGAAGACAGAGAACGGTCATTGCCACCACCTCTTGGGTCCCATCCATGGGGGCCACAACGTCAGTAGCCGTTGCGTATACTTGCCATTCACTCTCGTGATGAGATTGTCGACAGACAAACCCAGTGGATTGGAATAAATATCGAGGGTTTGAGAGACCTATTGAGGCTGCATATAAAAATAAAAGTGTGTTGTATATTTTAACTGTGGGGGTACCAGCCGATGTTGTTGGGAAGACTGTGATCAGCCAATGCCTGAGGACTAGACGAGTCCTGCGAGATAAATCGTAAAGTTCAATTGCAACTGCTGAAAAAAAAATTGACCAATTGAAAATTTTTTGAAACTGCAGAAATAGTTTCTCTCTGTGATCTCAATATCAAGACAATTACCACCATGACCAGTGTTTAAGTTAATCAACAGAATCAGAAACCCCTGATAACCACTTGGATTCGAAAGCAATTGAGGTAAGACAACAATCCCCAGTACTTATCTCGTTGTTGAGCCACTGTCACGTGGACGTCCTCGCATCATTGTCTCTAAGTATTATTGCTAGTCAGGTATATCGGCAAACTTACCACCATGTCTCGACGGTATGTCGTCCATGGATAGCGGTACCTTCAGTTGTTGCCCAGGTGTTATACACCTTTGACTCAACTTTCACAAATACGCCGGGTCGATGACGTTTTTCTATCAGCATAAATTAAACCGACAATACATTACACATTACGGTAAAATCGCCCCTATTCCAGTGGTAGTTTAACGCGACCTGTCAAGCTCGTTTAATTTTTTCATCTCTATTTTTTACGTCATTTCCAGAGAGAAATCATTTCTCTTGAGGTAACTTCGTCACTTGGGCTTCACAGTTATTGTCAAACGACCCCGGGGCCCCAATGAAAGTGTCCCGATACCGTTATCACGACCCAAAATGCGTCAGGACTCGTGGAACTAATGACACTATCAACAAAGCTGTCTAAAGGCGGAAATAAGCGAAACATAACTTAAACTCGATAAAAAAAATACTGCAGATCGCGTGATTGCAGAACAGGTCCCTAGGCGGAAGTCGAGAATTTTTCTGGCAAAAAGCCACTTTAAAAAAACCTCCCCAACAACCCAACATAAACATCATCATGAGTCTTGTCTATCTGATGTTGGAACGCGTGAAGAAGTCGTGGCTTTAAACTCGTGGGAATATTCCCATTGCTATAATGCGAAAAAGAAACACAAACCTGAGGACAATGACTGAACATTACCACTCAAACACGAGTAAATTACCTCATTTTTGGACTTCCCCAGGGAAATTAAGAAAGGAAAACAATTGTGTAACATTCCCATGATATCGTTTTCATTAAAACTCTCAATTTTCATTAAATTCCAGATGGCAATTCTCAAAGCACGCGTCTGGTCACTGTTGTTTCTTCTCAATGTCCTCAAGAGCACAGTAGCAACTCCTCTCTACACATCGCCATTCTCCGGTGTAGGTGAGTACTCCTCCACATGATTTTTACACGGTTTTTAACTCCCCAAGAGACTCATAAATCACGTTTCTAAGAGAGATATCTCACACTCGTCGGAGCGTGAAAGCGAGAAAGAAAAGTAAAGGCGGAAATCAGTGCGGGTATGATCAAGGTGCGTAAGGCATGGGCGACATTGACCGTGTCCTCCGTTAGTGCTCGTTAAAATCCCCCAATGTGTGGGCGAATCTGGTCATCTCAACAATTCGCTGAATCCACTGGGATTAACGGTCAACGCCGTCCCAACAACTGATAAATGCCATTCATAAAAACAAAAGGAATTCTATTCTATTCCGAGTGAATCCAGGTCACGGTGTCACGAAATATCCCAGGATGACTCATCGTGAACAAAATAGTAGTAAAAAGTGGAACGACTCGTACGTCAGTCACGTGCAAATTATTCCATTGGAATAAACTCATGATAAAATAAATGCTAATGGCTGAGAAATTTGTTGGCGCTTTGGGATTGAATCAATTTCGAATGGATAAAAGAACGGGTAAATACGAGAATACGGGGAGCCCAAAGACGACGGGGGATATACCGTTAAGTTTCAATGTATGAAAGGCTAGTCAGGGAACGATGTGGGTCACAGTCATAGCCCAATGTAACAGCTCGTTTCCCGGTTCGACTCCTTCGTAATCTCAGTTTGCTCCGGTCAGTCTCCCTTTCCCCTCTTGCCTTCAATAATTTACAGCGATGCACCTCTCTCATTTTTCTCCTTTTTTTCAAAGTGTTTTTCGATCCAAGCCCTACGCATTCCATTAGTCTGGCCTACCTGAGGTGGAAACAGGTATTCTCGCCTCTTTGAAGGATTGCCCTGAGCTCCAAAACGACTCTTATCTCGGTTGTAAAACGACTCATTACTTCACTGATAAAACTCGTTATTTAATATTGAATAGATGGTATGGGAGGAAGGAGGAAGGGGGAATTAATGCTGAAGATTAAAAACGAGGAAGAATTATTATTACAGAATCTGGAATGTAAGGAATGCAGATACCGGTATATTTAAGGCACATGAAATTCACAGTTAGGATTGCAATCACGACCTTGTAACAGACATTTCTCAATTCCAATGCCGCTGTTAATGATAATGCATTAACGAATTAATGATCATTATCAATGATTCTAGGTATTGGGCGAAACATCCGGCATTTACCATGCGTATCACTGAAGACTGGAGAAACTGGTGTCTGTATGTTCGCCTTTAACTGTGTTAAAGCTAATGGAACACATCTTGGGACCTGTCTGGATAGATTTTACTTCGGTAGCTGTTGTAAGATCAGTGATGAGCCGGAGATATTCCCGCAAGATAATTCTATTGATGAGCCCAATGGGCTAGGATCGACTAGTGCACCGCTTGACAATAATGACATTCCGGATTATCACAGCAAGCCGAAACCTGAGAAGGTGCCAGATGATGTGATCACTGAAAAACCGATTAGGAGTACTTATACAACACCGACAACAGTGAAAATGACGACGACAATGACGAGAACATCCACGACTCCGATTCCCCCCTCGATAGCGCTATCAACGTTCCAGACGATTCAAGACAGTAAGACATCGACAGTAACCAAGGCACCGACGACTGTCCATTATTCGAGACCTAGTACGACTGAGAGGACTGTGACGACACAGAAGATTGCGACGACTGAGACTTTTGTCAACAGACCAACAACTTCTTCGTCAGTCTCCACAACACAACAAATCACAATACAGCAAATCACATCGACGGAGAGAGCTCCAGCCACGAGGTTTCCACCGAGAAATGCAACGACTACTCAAGCTTCTACTAGCAGAAGACCCATCTCGACGACAACCAGAAGACCTTTGACCTCTGCAATTCCGAAGAAACCCACGCTGGTTACTAAGAGGCCTAGCAAGCCCACCAATGCGAGTTCCTTCAAACCCTCGAACAGTTCTTCGAAACCATCGACGGCAAGTGTATCAAAGCCATCTACTTCTCAATCCACAAGACCCGTTGTTACGACGACTGTGCTTTCGACATTAAAACCTGTTACCCAAAACACCACTCTCTCGTCATCAACTGTTCTGGTAACAAAACCGAAACCTAACGTAACAACAACCCTTTTGACTTCGACGAAGAAGCCGAGTGTTGGGACAACAGAGCAGATTACGAAACCCACGAGTTTACCGACAAGAGGAACCGTTGGGACGACAGTTAGACCGAGGCCCAGTACGAAGCCTACGAAGACAACTGTGACGTCGGCCAAACCTACGAAAACGACTGTGGTGTCGGCCAAACCCACGAAGACATCAGTAAAGCCGACAATTGGAGATAAAGTGAAGCCGAGGCCTTCGTCGACGACGGTCAAGCCATCGACAAAGCCGAGACCATCTTCAAAGCCGAGCAAACCTGGAAAGCCGAGCAAACCGCCACTAGGAAGCACTATTGGGTCAACTGTAACCATTCAGACTACTGTTCCATCTACTTCGACTGCTGGAACTACTCCCTCGACGTCGACAACTGCAAAACTTTCATCCACAAGCACAACTACAACAACTACAAGGACTACGACCACAACAACCACAACAGAGGAACCTGTCACTCTAACAAATGAGATTCTCCCTCCAAAGATCGCTATCACCACTGAAAACATCAGCAGTCCACCGCCCACGTCCTCGACCGAGGGCTTCGTCACCTGGAGCTCGAATTCCGATGACGACATGACACCTACGAGCACCTCATCAACCACCTCAACAACAACGGAACCAGGTACGTTAACGTTCAATCTGGGTCACTAAGTGGATTTTCCTTTGAGTTAAAAATGCCGTGTTAACTTGGAATTCCGACGTAACGGGTTCTGAAGTTCAATCCATTTCCTATATTTTGTCTCGGTCGGTTGAATGGAGTTTTAACAGTCCATTCAATCCTGTTATAATGACAAGACAAGACGTAACGATAGTATTCCACATGATCCGTTGATCCAAACATTTTCGTCTTTTCGCTTTAATGTTTCTGAATCAGTAGCGGAGTCGTAAAACTATACGAGACAGCTCGACTCCCACCTAGTTTCTGATTAATATCTTCGAATTTGGAGGAGATACCAACAGTCCCACAGGGCCGAAGAACAGGTGTTCGAGGCAGATAAAAGCTACAAATGAAAGTGTTTGCTGGAAATTCCCTCTCGAAATCGACTTTTACCATTTCACTATTGAGATAGTGTTCTATATTCCGTTTTTGTCGATTGAATGGTATTCCAATAGTCTACTCAGTCCTATTGTTATTCTAAAACGAAACGACAAAATACAATCGTTCGTTCGATCCATCCATAACTTGCATTATTCTCATGTTTTTTAATCAATCGCAAAGTAGAATCAGAAGGATGAGGATAGTTCTATAAGGACCTGTTCAGGATCAGTGAAAGCAACAAAATAATTGAATAAATATCTCTAAAGAAAATCGATTTTTTTCGCGTCACTATTGAGATAGTAGTATATATCTCGTTTTGTGATTGAATGGTTTATTCACGCCTGTTAATAATTTGAAGCAAGAAGAGAAGATGCTATCGATTTGCTGATCCATAGGCTAATGCTATTATACTGATGTTTACGGATTAGTAAAACAAAGTTATAAAACGATACGAGATAGCTCAACTCCCGGGTGAACTTTCGATGAATATTTTTGGGTATGAGGGAGACGGAGAAATTCCCACCAAGTTCTCTTTGGAGCAAATATGAACTAAAGAAAAACATATCTATTAAAAAACCTGGAATCTGTGTCGAATTGCAAGATTTTTATCAAAAATTGAAGTCTGAGTGAAATCGACTTTTACTACTTTACTATTGAGACAGCTTTTTCTACATTTTTTCATCTGTACACTTTTCTATCGAACTTGCTATGGTGAATCAATCAACTTCTCCTAAAAACGACTTCTGCTAAAAAAAATTGATAGTTGCTAAAAAGATGTTATTGAAAATAATGCAATCTCCCTTCAATGCTTTTTTTTTTAACTGAACGGAAAGCTAAGTCGACCTAGATTGCTGTACCTCCGTACTGAAACAGTGATTTAATGTTTTAAAAATCTTTACCCTTCTCTTCTCACTTTTCTCAGAAGTGACAGAGACTCAATGGTCGCCTATTACCACTCCCGACGGCTGGGTAATCATCCAATCTCCGAGCACAAAGAGACCTGAAGCTGAGAATGTGACAGAAGGTAGCAAAGTCACGTCAACATCATTACCTACAATTTCAGGTGAGACATCAACATCTCTTTGAAGTTTCTAGCTCCCTTCATTCGTTCATAAAGTTTTAATTATCCCGAGTAGAAATTTCGTCGGGAGCCCCCAACGTGCATTGGGAACCTATGAGTTTGTTGCGAGTTACTGACTCGTCGGTTGTACCTGACGTGTAACCCGTAGGTTCCAACTGCAACAATACTCGTAGGGACGATTATTGTCGGTTACAGATGAGTTCACCACCGATCACTAACTCACGTAGCTCAACCCGTTTGTAACTTATTTGTTCCTTCTAAACTGTTAACGGCATTCAATGATCCAAGTCCAGCCGGGCATAACTGGTCGAGAACTATCAGTACACTGAATAAGGGTCAAAATCAACAGTCAGAAATGAAGGTCAAAAATAAGGATCAGAAATAAACGTCAGGAATAAGGGTCACGAGAGTCAGGAATAAGGATCAGGAATTAGTGTCGAAAATAAGGGTCATGAGGGTCAGAAATGAGAGCCGAAATACACGTCAGAAATAAGGGTCACGAGGGTCAGAATGGAAATTCAATATTGAGGGTCTCAAGGGTCAGGAATAAGGTTCATTAATAAGGGCCAGTAATAATGGTCAGAAATAAAGGTAAAAAATAAGGGTCAGAATTAAGGTTTAGGCATAATAATCATAAGTCAATCGTCAGAGAATATGAATCCTCGCCTTATCTAGCATATCGGAATATTATATTCTCAAGAATTACAGGATAGTGGACTTGGACTTCAGCACAGCAGACGATCATCAAAGTTAAGTAACATTAAGTACGGTTCAGAATTGGATGGGTGACCACTCACCGGAAACGTGATTTTTTTTTCTTTTTCTGCGTATGTAAATCGATTCTTATCATTGGGCATGCTTTTCCATGGCCATTAATGAGTTATTCATCATTGACAAATTGTTGATAATAATTAGATGAATAAATAATTATGCGGGTTTTTGATGGGTTACAACCTACGTGTAACTTGTGAGGTAACTGCGTGACGTTTCCGTGAGTTCCTTGTAGGTTGAAACCTATGTGGAACCGGTTACCATGTCGGTTGCAACTGATAGGTAACTGATGATAAACCGACGAAATTTCTACTCGGGATGAGTTGTGATGTATATAGTCGGCCTTGCGATCGAAGGTATTAAAAAAGTCAACAAATTTGACTGTCAAACGTTTATTCTTTCAACCGCAGGACCGACTATATTCGGGTAATATGTTCAATAGCGTTCACTATCCATCAAGTGTGGGTATCGAGATTGGCTCGGCAATTGTGAATTTATAACTCTTTGGTGTATCCATACATTGACATGGATGAGGAGATAGATATCCGGGACCACCCATTTCGCCACTTTTCTTCTAAAGGCAATTAATTTTTTAATTAAGTCAGATATAGTTTTTGTGACATCTGCTTGAAAACTGTACGTTTCTGAACGGTTTAGTGTAAGGAAAACCGTTGTTTTCTGCACGGCGTGCGTAAAGGTCACGAGCGTGGGTTAGGGTTATGCCACAATGAATGCAACGCCAGATGTACGCAACGCTTACAATTATCACAAATAATCGAAAAATGGTTCAAGGATTGTTTCACGCATTGCGTACGTTTCGGGGTGCATCCACTATGGCATCATTCTTAAGGAGATTCTACAATGAAAGCAACGTAGGTTTGACGCAGCTCTTGAAATTATTAAAAATTGCTCGTTCAACTGTTTTTCGATTGTTTTGATAATTGCAAACGTTGCGTATATCTGATGTTGCATTCAGTGTAGCATAGCCCTAACGCACGCTCGTGAACTTTGCATCGTAAGAGAATCCCCGCCAAATCATACGCAACCTATAGGGCGCCACTGTACACGGAGAGAAATGTACGAGAAAAATTACCGTGCTCACACAGTAAAGTGGGTTCAGATGGTCTTTCCAGGCGAAATGTACCGCAAGGAGTAGGAAAAAGTACTGTTGCACGAGTCATTTTTCGGATAAATGTGGGGAAAAATTCTAGTGCAGCACGGTGAAATCGAAGCGGCAATAAATTTTTACGAGAAATACGTGAAAAATTATGATACTGCACGGAGAGAAGAGCCATGGGAAAGAGTCCCATGTCAAATTTACGACTTGTATGTATTTCTAAAATTTAGGAAGCATTACTATGCTATGGTAATGATTCCTATGGGGTATGGCATTACATACTATGGGCCATGGTAAGTCTCTCGATGGGAATGAAGCCTATGAACATAGGAGAAATTACTATATTGAATAGTACCCTCTACCATGTTACAGGGTAGAGTGTACTATTAATTATAGCAAAGGGACCCATAGTCGTTTGGTAAAGTTTACCATAGTTTATAGGAGAGATTACCATACACTATGGTAACATGACCTATATTATATGGTAAAACGTGAAAGTCATAAAATGTCACGAATATAAAAGATAATGATCACTAAACTATATCATGATAATGATGAGTATAATGAGATAGAAATTTCAAGTGGGATATATATTTATATTTAACGTATTTGGTTTCGACGCTGTTTCAATAATTACAGAGTATTTTCTTATAATGTTGGATTCTTTCCTATTAATAATCATCAATATACCTAGATTAATCATATCGAATATCTTAAGGATCATATTTAACAATAACATATTTACATCAGTATTTTAATATCAGAATATACATATCTACAGAATAGTGGGATTTTTTGCCCCAAATTTTACCTAATCATTGGAAGAATTTTTGGCATTACGGTGCTATAAAAATTATTAAAAAATTCAGATGTGAGTAATTAAACTCAACAACTTTGCATGAGAATTTAGACCCAACGTTTCGGAACGTATTGCTTTTCATTCCCGGAGGTAGCTATATACGATAGGATACAAAATTTCATTTGTCGAAATGTTAATGTCGACCACCTCTTATCATTTATATCAATTTCATAGGATTGGAAATGTCTTTCAAAGGAGTATTCTTGTAATTGTTGAGTAACAAGAATAACTTGATTATTTGGCTCTAGGATTACGATATTGATCAAATGTAATTGAGGACCAGCCTCGGTCGGCATCATCAATATTACGTTTTCCCTGATATCATGTCCCAAATAATTGAGAGTTTACTATTGTAATATCACTAGATCGATTGGACGGGAGAACTGGCTGAAAATGACGATAATTTGAATCTAATTCTAATTTCTTGTTAAGAGCTGGACCAGGGAGAAAAGGTGGTGGTAAAGACTTGTTGATGAGTAACCGATAATTCAATTTTAATTGTGCCTTGATGGCTATTTTTAATATTTTCTACGATATCGAGAAAAGGAGAGATTACCATGTATAAATAGTACTGATTACCATCCACATGGTAATCTCTCCTATAATAATGGTTGTCGTTGCTATATTGTATAGTAATGCCTACCATGTTCGAATGGTATTGATTACTATACAACATAGTACACTTTACTGTTGAACATAGTAAAAATTACTATTGAGATTGACTTAGAAACCCTTTTATCATAATTTATGGTAACCTCTACCATACAAAAGTAACCCCTACCATTCACTTTTCTCCGTGGGGTTGGTAAATTTTCCCGGTGCTCTACCTGAATCCTAGGACCCGATCGCGCATTCGTACGATTTCGGCATTCTTTGCCCCCCCCCCCCCGCAACCACGAAATCAACTTAACGTGACCAGATGATTTATTTCGTCGCCTCCTCAGTCTCCTCTCTCATATATCTCCTTACTGAAACCCCAGGTTAATGTTTTCCCTAATATCAATTCAGTGAAATATTAATTAGTTTTGTGATAAAACGTTTAAGAAATAAAGTATGTGCCCTTTATTTTCTCTTCATGAGGTGTATGCTAAAAACGCGCGACCAGTTAAGGGTTAACGCGACGTTTGCAATTGTTTGAATCAATCAATCAACTATTTTTCGATTATTTTAACAAGTGCAAGCGTTGCGTCAAGCCTACCTTGCGTTCATTGTAGAATCTCCTTTACGCACTCGAAATTTACTTCATGACACTAGGATCGAAAAACCGCGATTCTAATCGATTTTCGGGCCCAGTGCCTTACAATATTGTATATTACACGGTGATAAAACTATCATCTGACTCATATGATTACACGGAGAGAAATATTCAAACGCAATTATGTATTTTTTTCGTAATTCCGGAGCGCAATGTGGTTGTAGGAAATTTTATGGAATGGTCACATAATTTTTACCGAAAATCATGGAATTTTTCCAGAGCGTTCCGTAATTTTTATCTGAATCTCCTGTGAAAAATTACGATACCGTCACTTAAATTTTCTGAGTCAATTTCGTAATCGGTGAGCGAACTGTGCGTTCCGTACTTTTTACTGAACATTTCTCTCCGTGTATAAAAGTCTTTGCCTTCGGCTGGGATTATAAAGTCACATTCGTCATATAATACTTTGATCGCCTGATGACATAATGTACTATTACGCGCACTTTTGAAGTTTACGCACTCATGCGCGATAGTATATTATGTCATCAGGCGATAAAAGTATTGCACGCCTTCGGCTCGGATTATAAACCCACATTCGCCAGATAATGCTTTTATCGCCGTGTGACATACGATATTTTATGTCGTTGGGCCCGAAAACCGCGATCTAACCGAGCGAAGCGAGGCGAATGCACTTGCATATTCGTCAGAATTTTTTTTTCGGCACAGTGACGAAGCATATTTGTTGTCAAAACGTTCAACCTTGTAGCACGCGCAGCGTGCGTAAAGCGAGGCTTCACGAACTGAGTGACAAGAAACAACCACTACTGTTCCGTACGTCGAACTCGGCAAGTATCACAAAAAATAGGGTAGGTTGCACATGCATGCAAAAAAGTCGAACATTCCGCACTAGTAAAACAATGGAGGTAGCGATGCCTGTACCGCTCATCAGCCAATACCGCTCGCCGGTTTTTTTCCATAACCACTTACTTTTTCAAAAAAATTTCTCACTCAATGTGATGAAGGGTCTACTATCAATATGTTATTCCCTTTCTTCACCCCTTTAAATTACGAGAACAGCACCCCATGGTTTTCGGGCCTTCACCATGTAATTTGAGGCCAATAAATTAGTCCCTATACCACTCATCTAAGGAATAACAATAATTCTTGCATTCAACCCATGATTTCGGCTGAAAATTATAGACGCATAGCATGTTTTAGCTATTGCGCTAGATATTTTAACATCATGGACTCTCAATTCTTGCTGAAATTTCGATAAATTATCAAACAACGAAGACGAGAGTTGAGTGAACGGTATTGACTGCATGCGGCCAGTACCGCTCACTCAACGCCCGTCTTCATTTTTTAATAAATTATCGAAATTTCACCAAAAAGTTGGGGTCTGTAATGTCAAAATATCTACCTGAACAACCAAAGAATACTATGCAACTGGAATTTTTATCCGAAATCATGATTTGGGCTACAAGAATTGTCGTTGTTCCTTAGGTGAGTGGTACAGACATTACCTCCCCTATACTATTTTTGCTCTTAATTCAAAAGCATGATACAGTGGACTCTCCTTTATCCGCCGACTCCGTAATCTGCGCTCACTCCCCTCGAGGCCTGTTGCCCCTCAAAAACCTTCCACCACTCCATATCTATCGTGCATTCTTCTCATTGACGCCATGCGCTATGAAATGCGCAGTGGGTCACAAATGTAAACCACTGCCACGATTCCCCCCACTATTCCCGACCCTTTCCCTCTTATAATGCTGCTGTAAACTTGACGAGTGGGGATGTTCCTTTATCTGCGTTTCACATAAAATGACGTCACGACCGAGTCCCGAGGCCTGCGGATAAAGGAATGTGCACTATATGACGTCAAAATTCAACTCCTACCAACTCTTAACGACACCCAGGATCCACAATGGGGGCGTTGATAGTATAGGATAAAGAAATTGTAAATTGAATTGTAGACGCCTCTTCTCCACATCACGCCTATATTCATCACAACGTTTATTTATTTGTTTATTTGTTGGGGTTTAACGTCACATCAACAGCTAGGTTATTAGTGACGGGCTCGCGACTCTTTCATGACGTTAGAGCTCACAACTGTTTCCTCTGTAACTTGTAGGTTACTATGTTAGAACAGTATTGCCAGTGAAAGATCAGAATGCAATTACACATGATAGTGAGAATCAGCTGTAGTCAACTAGGTTTCCGAGACACGTGAAACTTTAGGTTGTATGTACACTGATAAAATGATTAATTTATTCCAAACGAGATTCGTTAACTATTAACGAATGGTAGAGTTGAATATGACCAAATGAATATTCGTTAATAGTTAACAAATGGTTTACTTGAATGGCGAAAGTCAAGTCAAACAAGGCTCTTCAAATATACATTCGTTAACTATTAACGAATGAACATTTGGTGGGACCGAATAGACCCTAATCTTCAACCAAAATCCATTCGTTAACAATAACTAATCCGTTCTATCAGTGTACATAATTCGAACATGCTCAATTCTATTTTCTCTCGGTATTTTCACGTTTTTTTCAAATATTCGTAATGGTGTCCTCACATTATTTGACTAAATCAAATAATCCAGAAATAATTCGCCGGTACCAGATTGCGAATCCAGGACCTGTGGCTTTGTAGGCGGACATATTACCAACTCGGCCATACACCTGACTCATCATAATGTCTTTACCATGATCTTTACAATTCTCTCAACAATAATTAATTCTTCATATTGTTCTTATTTCTCCAGTCGAAATTACAACGCAAGAGACAAGTGCAGAGCCCACGACATCAAAGCCGACAGTACCGACTGCAACATCTTCAACAGTCCCGGCCGTTACCACTGGAACACCTGACACACTCGACAGTTTCAATATGTCCGACTACAAGCAAGGTGGGTATCTAAATAATAAACATTATTTGAAACAATTATCATTAGAGTATACACGTCTCTCGAGGACAATGGAGAATTGGTTAAGTTTAAGGACACTGAAGAAAAGTTCTGGGACAGTATGAGAAAAAAAAAATCGAGGGGGGTACCGGTTGATCCGGTCGATCGAATGAGAGATCTGTTCAGTCGGGTGCTCAACAATATGGCTGGGGCACTAGGTACCATGAATATTATTAAGGCAATTAACCGAACAATGTTTATTCTTGCAGTATGCGGAAGAAGATTGTTTCCCGAATCTAGAATTGTGGGTGGAGATCGAAGTCTATTTGGAAAGTGGCCTTGGCAGGTAAATAAACAAATCATGCGGAATATTATTCATGATGGAATTCAATTATCATTTCTCGGTATGTTTCAATTCAATTTTCTTTTTATTTGAAGTGGGATTAAATTTTTTTATTTGTTTAGATATCGTTGAGACAATGGAGGACATCTGCATACTTACACAAATGCGGTGCTGCATTGCTAAACGAGAATTGGGCGATTACTGCAGCTCATTGTGTTGAAAAGTACGTTGAATAATCTTCTGAAAATACACTTGATCCATCTTCCATGAAAAAACGTGGGTAAACAACAGTTTTGCCGTTAACGGAATTTTATTTTGCAGAAATTGCTTGAATTCCCAATTAAATTCGAATTTAACGAGTTAAATTCGTTGGAATCCCCGGAAAGATAATCTTCAATTCATCTTTAAAGACAAGAGAAAATCTATAATAAAAAGAAGGCCAAAATGTGTCACACGTTTATTTTCTTCTCTCTTCTCTATAATAAAAAGAAGACAATTGAAAATATTTCTTATCATTCACATTCAGTTCGAAATGTTGCATAAAAATTGGTAGTAATTATTCACTTATTCAATGCATTGTATTAGAATGGAGAATGGTATCGTGTTGATATGCGCACCGAGGACTCGATCTCCTTTCTTAAAAAATCATAAAAAGTTTGAACATTCTTTTAAAAATTTGAATTCGTGTTGAATAAAATCGTCCAATCAGTGTTCAAGGGAAAATTGTCTTCCACTGGAAAGTTACCTCTAGAGATACCATTCGCAAACACAAATCCATCAGATGAGGATAAACGTTATATTTCCACTTTAGTGTACCACCGAGCGACCTTTTACTCCGAATTGGTGAGCATGACTTGGCGAACGAGGACGAACCCTATGGTTTCCAAGAAAGACGCGTGCAAATTGTTGCGAGTCATCCAAACTTCGATCCAAGGACATTTGAGTATGATCTCGCTTTGTTGAGATTTTACGAGCCACTGTTGCCGTTTCAACCGAATCTCTTGCCAATCTGTCTCCCCGATGACGATGAGGGATATGTGGGGCATACGGCGTACGTCACGGGATGGGGAAGATTGTACGAAGGTAATTGTCGAAGTTACAATTACCAATTTCGTAGTGTTCCGCACATTCTGAAATTTTAAATTTTCTTTGAATTACAGATGGGCCGTTGCCATCGGTTCTGCAGGAAGTTTCTGTACCTGTTATCAATAATACTGTTTGCGAATCGATGTACAAACAGGCTGGATTTATCGAGCACATTCCGCACATATTCATCTGCGCTGGGTGGAGAAAAGGAGGATTCGATTCGTGTGAGGTAATGGTGAAAAAAGAAATCATAAAAAATTGGGTGCGCTATTTCAAGGTAGTGGAGACAACATACGAAATTCATTTGACGAATCTTGTTGAATACGAAGTGCTTCCAATGACACGTCATTTCAAGGGATACTGTCAAATAGACTTTTTATGATAAGCGTCAGTGAGATTTTCCCACCAGCCCATAAAGTCATTCAAGGTTCCTAATTTAGTGCATATCATCAATATGGATTATGAGGGATGCTATGGGATTGGATATCTCAGAGACATTGCAGGATTGTGACTTATTGAAGATTTGAAAAGATTTATTTACGCGAATAATGATAGGACTAGCTAAGAGTTGTACACTGTTGAGAAAAAATTGAATTATCATGAATGATTTCATTAATTCGAAATCAGTGATTTCAGAAAAATAAAGGTAATAAATAATAGAGGTGGAGCAAAACAGGTTGTGTCAAATTATGAAAATCAAAACTGGCAATAATAACTGGCAAATAATAACAAATTCGTTGGATTCCACTCCGCCAATCTTGAGCTAATAACGATGAAAAGCGGTCCATTTTACCATGTTGCTATGACAGTGAGGACGGCATTTTATTATCATCGTTGACAGGCGTGTCAATTTCAAAATCACGAATTTCGTAGCATGGTTCACACTACGCCAGTGCGCCACTGATTTCGGTGATTTCATTGGTTTGCAGACGATTTTACGTGATTTCGGAGTGATTTCGGAATTATTTCATGTCAGAGTGGTGCCGTGATTTCGGGAGTGAGTAGACCCTCGATTGAATTTGATTTATGGGGGATCGTAAAACTTCTAATATCTGAATATTTATTTTTCTCGGATATCAGCTAATCAGAACGCAATATCCAAGGCTAACCAAAAATTGTATTTCGCAATTGCATTTGTTTTTTCCGCGAAATATCGCACTCCGATGGATCGACCGATGCGAATGAAAGAAGTATTCAGTTGTAGTATGCAGGGACCGTCAAATATCTGATGAATTTTGAAGGTCGAGGGCAATTCGGAGGATAATTTACTCAATTGTGATTTTGGCCGAGCAGAGTGCGGTGTTGGGAGTTGGTAGGCGGAAAAAATAGACCAGGAACAAATAGTTCACACATCCAAGACATGTTAGAACATGTTAGACTACGGAAAAAATAGATTCTAGTGCGGGATTCTTTGGGGTTACGTGACTCTTTCCACCCAAATGTGGGGAATATTTATCAAAAGAAGGGAAAACAATTGATAGCTGATAATTCACCCGTAGTCCGGTGGATTATCAGCTATAATACCCTAAGTCCTTCAAAACTATCGCATATTTCCCGATAGCATAGTTAGTTGCATAGCGACGAGAGGGATCTGAATTAGTTTTGCAGATTAGAATTCCGAGCGCATAGCGCGAGGGGTTTTATTACAAAGCTGATCCTGATTGTTAATTTGCAGGAAAACTTGAGGGAATTATCAGCTGTAATACCCAGAGACCTTCAAAATTATCGGATATTTTCTGAAAGCTTCGTCGTTGTAAACAAATGAACGTAAAAATCCCTAATGCGCAGCACGAGAGATTCTTCTGCAAACTTGACACACTCGTTTTTTTTTGCAGGGAAGCTCGAGTCAGTTTCCACGGGGGACTCACTCGACGAGGAAATCTTTTCTTTTTCAATATGAAAAATTACCAGTGGAATTATCAAAAATTATCAACTGAATACTATGTTGACTATATAAAATAATAGTCGAATAGTGCAAGTCTATTGGCTGAAATTTAAATGGGAAAAATTCTTGATAGAATTCTCTTCTGATTGGTCCACGGGACATCAAATACCGCAATCCTATTGTTCGGAAGGGTGATGGGGGAAATAATCGATATAATGCTCTTTTGATTGGACCACGGGACGTCGAATACCGTAATTCTATTGATCGGGAGGGTGATGGGCGAAGAAATCGATATAATTCTCTTCTAATTGGTCCACGAGAGGTCGAATACCGCAATCCTATTGTTCGGAAGGGTGATGGGGGAAATAATCAGTATGAAACCATCCGTCTGACTCTGCATTTTTTAATGTGTGCATTGATAATTATTTAAGTGTTTCCACCATATAGAGGTCCGGAAAGTCGAAGGATAGCATATAGTATCCCATTTTCCATGTAATTTATACTTTAAAAATATATAAGGTTTGACCGAGTAGATAGACCGGGGTAATGATACCGCAAGCCACTTTACGAGACAAAACTTTGGAGAGATGATCTTGGTCTCAATTAACATGAAAATCATTGCCTTTATCTCACTATTGAAATAGGCTGTATCGACTCCTCTCGTGATGACTCCGAGTCAATTTATCTCATCCCGCTCTTAAATTTTTTGTGCTTTTTAATGTAAAATTTCGTTTTTTGTCTCGGTTTGTCTCGTCTAGATTTTCTACATATAAAAAACGCGAAAAACTGGAAACCGAGATGAGATAAATTGTCTCGGAGTCATCAAAAGAGGAGTCGATACTAAGTATTGCAAGACTGCTCCGGAATTATTGATTATTTTCTTCCAACTTCCCTGCATAGAAAAAATGTGCCCTATTCTGCAGAAAAATTCAACACATATTATTTCCTATGCAACCAAGTTATCAGAAAATAACCGATAATTTTGAAGACCTCGGGGTATTACAACGGAAAATTTAATGAAATATTAAACTTTTCAAGAGTTTACTTCTCCAACTTTCTTGAATTTTCAATTGATGAGAAATTCAAGAATCTATTTACCGGAACGCCCTGATTTCTATTAATTTTCCTGGAATAATTTAAATGAAATGTACAGTTTCCGTAGATTTTTTCATCCAATTGTGAATTTCCCAAAAGTGTGCCGAAAGAATCAGCCAAAATTACTTGACATTATGGAGCGAGTTTTCAAGTCTAACGGTGAATGGTCATAAGCCTTAGTCACACATTTATGATCATGTTTTCAAGGGAGTGTGTGTTCCTCAAAGCATGAGCCTGAAGAGCAGAAAAATGCATCCGAAAAACCCTATTTCAAAGACTTAGAATTGGTCAATTCAATAGTTTTATACTTTTTTGACTTTTTAGGATCAATTTCGGAGTAACACTGAAGACTAGTGGACATTGATTTTTTATCTGCGTCTGCGCTAAAGGTCTTCTCCGGTTGTTTCTTGAAACAATGAGAAGCCTTCTAGACTTCCTAATGCTTCCCCCATGGAAAACTATATATGGCGAAAATATATGAGCCTATATAATTTATACATATCATATAAAGGAAATATATGTCAAAATATAGGACATAGATGCCGGTATATGTGAAAATATAGTAAATTAGCCCATAGTCGTGAATGAATTATATATAAAGAATTATGTACCGTTTCATAAATGACAAGTATATGACTCACACATATATTATACATTTCTACATTACATTTCACCCTATATGAATATCTACATGGAAACATATACGTATATGAATCATATATGACACAGATCCACGCCAAATCAGCTGGTCAAAAAAGCCGATGCTGGGGATTTTTGTTTCCTTTTTTTCATGAAATCATGACGATTAAACAAAAATTTTGAAAAATAAGAAAAATTGAAAAATTTGGATAATTGAGGGAGTTATGATTTTTTGAAAATGGCAAATTTTTGTGCAAAAAATTTTTTTTTCCAAATTGGCCTGAATATTTCTGCGGGTTTCAAGCTATCAAATCGTCCTTCGGCACACTCAAAGAACATGAAAAACCCTTCAAAATGCGACGTCATACATAGTATTATCTTCAGTTTGACGGGGTTTATATGAGAAAACGTTTTTTTTTCAGTCGTTAATTACCAAAAAAAAATTTTTTTTTTCAAATCTGAAAATTTCACAAAAAATTGTCAATAAAATGGAAGGAATTTTGGCGGAAATTCGCGTTTACCTTTCGCTCCAGTCCAGTGGTTCTTTCTTTCATTTGGACAAGTATTAAAAATGACCAAAAATCGTTTCGACGAAAACTAGTCATTTTTAAAGAATCGTAACTCCCTCAATTATCAATATTTTCCAATCTTTCTTTTTTTGAAAATTTTTATCTAATCACCATCTTTTCAGAAAAAAAATGAGACAAAAATCCCCAGCATCGACTTTTTTGGCCTGCTGATTTGGCATGGATCTGCATATACATATATAAAAAATCTTGAAAATTATTTAAAGAATCATTATTTGAAATTAAGAAAAAAATGTAAGACAAAGAAAAACCCCTTTCGTTATGTAGTTTTTCTCCTTTTGTTATACAGTTTTTTTCAAATGAACAGTGAAATTTTTGACTTTGCGGTTTAAAAGTTTCGAAAAAAATATAAATTCTACCGCATTTCCAGCAAATTTTGACGGTACATCTTTCATTAATTTCTATTCCATTTTTCCGTGTACATCAAGACCCATTACTATAAAAAATCCTTCAGCTATAAACCACACCACCCAACATTTCGTCCTAAAAGCATTCCTATTCGAGATTAATATAGAACATGATATTATAAAACATGAAGAACCCCTTATCATCCTACCAAATTAAAAAATGATTTCAGGGTGACAGTGGTGGTCCCCTGGTGATCCAAAGGCCACGCGACAGGCGATGGATTCTCGCAGGTGTCATAAGCTGGGGAATTGGCTGCGCAGAGCCTAATCAGCCTGGAGTTTACACGAGAATCTCCGAATTCAGAGAATGGATCAATCAAATCCTTCAGTTCTGAAGGAGCCAACGAATCACATAATAAATCATGAAATAAAAAGAGTCCAACGACTGATGGATGGTTCAAGAATCTCACTGTATCTCAGCTAATCATCTGAGATTAATCGCTTGTGGATCGAAGGAATAGACCCACGAGTGGAAAACAATAACTGGTGATAGTGACGTGGTATTCTTTATCGGACAATGTAATATTACATCAATTTTTCAATTAAATCGCAATGAAATGCTCAGATGGGGGAGACAACAAGTGGTTTGCAGAGAGGAAGTAGGAACTTATTCGTGCCATTATTCATCTGTTATCGATGGCAGACATCTGAAATTCAATGGCGGTCGATTGATCTCACTGGGAGGATTAGAAACTACCAGATACTAATGGCACGTTAATAAATCAATCTCTTACCACTTGTAACCCTGTATTCCCCGTGGAAATGTCTTTATCCATGTATATGTATTATGTGGGGAAGAACAAAAAACGAATACTGCCCAAGATACTTAATTTATTATGAAATATTCTAGGACAATAGTACCCTATAAATTAATTCTTGTCAACTTATGTTCTGTTGATAAACGAAAAACACTATTTCTCTCTCTGGAGAGGGTCTATTTGTAAATATTCCGAATTTGTGCGTAGGTTTTTACTGATTAGTGTATGAAAGGAAATAAAAGAATGATAAGAAATCCAAACTACTTGCAGTGACCGGTGTTTTCCACCCCATTAGTTCTCTGAAAAAGAATTATGAAAAAACTTTCATAATGGGAAAGTTCTTCCAAAGGTACTGGTGATCTATTGTCAATTAGAATTGTCGCCGCTTCGTGGCGATCAAAAACAGGATTCCCTGATGAAGGACACTTTAGTGCTCGAAACGGTGGCAAAAGTGGAAAAATTGGACTTTCTCTCTTGTTTCCTTTCTTCGATTATTTTATTGTAAATTTGCTATGATGACCTTTAATGGCTGAAAAGTGAGGAGTTTTTAATAACGAACGGAAACGGTGGGAATAATTTTGATGACGAGGGGGGGGGGGGGAAGAAGATCCTTCGGCCCAATCAAACAATCGATTGAATCATCTAGCCTAGTCTAAAGAGAATGAAGTCGAGAGTATTCTGCAAAAACTAATTGTTGTAACCTAGATACTATCAGAAGAAGATGGAGACGACCCGGTTAATTCCCCCTCCCCTGTTTACCAGTTACTTTTCCAATCCATTTGACATCCGGTAACTTTGAATCCTGATGGTTTTTTAATATACCGCAGGACGGGATAAGTACGGAGAACTCTCGATCATTTTTATAACATGTTTTACTCGATTACTAGTGGAGAATGAAGATTATTGACGGTAAAAAAAAAACATTTTTGTCACGGGTGTGACGTACCAATGGATGTTACTGGACCGGGTTAAGTGGCTTTTGTGAAAGTCAACCGACTTTTGCTCTGTCCCCCTCGTTGTACCTTTTGTCTTGTCGAAAAATCAATCGCTACGCGACGTCGTGCACTTGTACAAAAGAGGTATAAAGGTGAAAAAAAATATCCACGTTATCGGGAATATGAATCTCAAGTCGTGCGGCAAATAGAAGACAGGGTTAAATTAACGACTGCCTGAATTACACGCATTCTCTGCTGGGGTATAATCAACAATGGTGGTGATTAATAAAAATCACCATGAAACACGAGAGAAGTTTATCACTTCATTTCCTCACTCCATCATAATTAATCATCGTCCCCCATTGAATTCAATTACTCATGCGGTGGTTTCATGATGAAAGAATTCGAAAATAATCTAGCTAAAAGCAAATCAATTATGAAGATTGGTGGAACCCGTCCCTTGTTGTTATACCTCATAAGCATAATGTGAAATAATTTTCATCGTGAGAATTGTCCAGGGGCTAGAAGTTGCTCGTACAACTTATTCAGCCCATGCGCAAAAGTAGCACATAATCATTCATCGTTCCACTTTACGTCATCCTCACGTCTGCTGAAAAAAGGGTATTAAAAAAATTGCCTCCCTCGGTCCCTCACAAACATGATTCAGGCGGGAGAGGGTCAACAAGGTTGACTCGTGATACGCAAAGGTTGAGAGGAGTGGCCGGGGGGGGGGNTCGACATGCCAGATGAAAATCACGTCTCGCAATCAGTGTAACGTGGAGCTGCATGGGAAAATTGTGGGGGCTCCGGTTGTAGCCCAGTGGGTGAACGCGTGATGCAAGCGAAAAGCGGGGGCTGGTTGGTTCGATAGAGCTAACCCAGGCTCGACTCCGGGCCAGGGTCGTGTATGCATCAGGGACATACTCAGTTTTATTGTAGTCCCTGGATACCTTAACCATGTCCACCGATGAATACCGCAAATGCCATTGGAATTGATAAACCGGTATCCAGAGACGTCATCGATGAGCCCTGATTTATAAAAAAGCCGGTTCAGCATTTTTTGAAGATGATTTATTTCATCTTTATATGGGCGAGGCATTTATAAGCGGGTGGATTCGTCATTATTATGTGGGAGAAATCATGATGTAGAGGTGGAAGAGAATTTCTTTTTTTTTAATTTATTGACATACTTTTCTCTTTTCATTTTTGTTATCAATCAAAAGTTAAAAGAAATATTTTGTGGGATATTTCAAACTAATATGTTTTTATACCATTATTTTCTGATGGTGTAAAATACATGGGATCAAAAGGAAATAAACTTATGAAAAATGGCAAGAAGAATGCAGTCAAAATTGCTGAAAAATTCATCAATTTTTCTTAAACTTTTTCGCCCACAACTCATAAATGTTATTTTTTGCTCTTGAATAATAATGTTAATGGGAAAAAAATCACAAGTAAAACCAGCAGGGGTACGAGCCTATCCGATAGAAGGCAGGTGACCGTTGCTTTTTGGGGTATTGTCTATTTCTTTTTCTACCAATTCCATTGGTAGTAAGCTCCCGAATGGATTCGTAGCAATCCCCTGTCCTTATACGGTTGTATACAGGTATACAATCGTAATCACACAGGGTGTCTATAGGAAGATATTAAATCTGCAAATAAAATAGACTTATACAAAAGATTAAATATCTCCGTAACTGTTGAGCCAGTTGGACCACCCAGAATATCAACCTTCAATATTGTAAGAGCTATAATGATACCAAATTTTAACTTGCTATTTTCATTTTTCTCACAATATCGTGCGTACAAGAATGAAAAATTTGAAAAAACGAGAATATGTCGGAAGCTTTGTGTGAACGGATATATCTTTTTTGATTGATCCAGATAGAAGCCGTCGAGACGAGTATTTAAAAAAAAAATTAAATTCGTCAAGTACTTCCTGAGATATTTGAAGAAATATATTTACACAGAAGTTTGCATATCTCAAGAACCGCTGAGCCGATTGGGCCCACACAAAATACCTACTTTTAGTATTATAAGATCTAGAATTACACCAAATTTCAACTTGGTATATCCTTTTTTTCTCAAGTTATCGTGCGTACAAGATTTTTCATGAAAAATGGAAAAACCGCAATATCTCCAAACTGTCCAGGGATCCCCATCAATATTAAATTTCAGTAATATTACCCAAATTTGCCCTTACATTATTGAAGGTTTAAAATATTTTGATTCAATTTTTCCAATATTATAATATTAATAATCTGATTTTTACGAATAATGCAATATTTAAAATTTGTTAATATACAACTGTAAATTTATTACTAAGTGAATAATTCAAATTTTAGAAAGGGGGATTTTCGATTACACAAGTAATCGTCAATCTTCCTACCTAAATTGTCGATTACCCAAGTAATCGTCAATCGTCCTACCTTAAATTAGAGATTGATAAAATACTTAAAATTTGAATATTTGAATTGATGATATTTATTTACTCAAAAATTACAAGGTTGATGTTTTTTCAATTTAAGGGCTCAAAAGTAATAGTAATAAAATATTACAAATTTTGCTATCCCTGAAACTGTCTTGAAAAGTCTATATATTCTGATTGACTTACATAGAGACCATTGAGACGAGTATTTTGAGAAGAAAAAAATTGAAATCGGTGCAGTAGTTTTTGAGATATTAAGAAAAAACGAAATTTAAGCAATTTGTGATATCTCAGGAACTACTAAACCGATTGGGCTGAAACAGTGCGTCAAAGTTGGGCTCAATAATAGCTACAATGACTCAAAGTTTCAAATTTTTATCTACAAATTTCCCCGTATTTATGTTGAATTTTCTCAAAATTAATCACCAAAAACCCTAGTTGTCGGATACGTACATACAGATATGACTCTAAAAATATAATTTCTTCACGTTTCATAATATTCTAGACCATTTGCAACCAAAATTAGAAAATCGAAAAATCGGTCAAAACCCATTCCATTCGGAAGCAAAAAGTTTCAGTTCTTGGAGATCTGTGGCATTTTTAAATTTAACAAATGAGAAATTCTAAAATCACGTGATGTTAGTCTGTATTTTGTCATTATTTTCCAGTGACATAATCATACATTCTAGGACGGTTGTCCTTACATCTCAATGATTGAAACTTGAAAATGTTTGAAATCGTCGAAAATCGTTAAAAATCGTTAAAAATAACTAAGGATCGATTTTTGAAAATTGCGGATATATCACAAAAAATAAAACTTTGCTTTTTCTGCGTTTATTCTTGGCCTTCCTTTTTTCCATTATTACAAATGAGGATTCCTGTAATACAATTTCGCTCTCCGATTACCTCGGTGGCATAGTTATTTTTACTGCGAGTTTTTTCTCCGTGCATATGAAATTGAGAACTAAGATTACAAGAAAATAAGGAAATTACAAAATTATCCCACGATTATGTTCTATTTTTTCATGAAACCAAATGCGAAAGTCTTCATTACCTAATTTCTACACCACCTCTGTGGCGTCTGTATGGATAAAAAGAAAAAAACATTTACTTGATTAATCTCGAGAATCAAAGCTCTCGACATTAAAAATTACGTTGAAAGGAGAAAAATCCATAGGGAGAATAATTTTATAATTTAATCCTTCGTTTCACTTTTTTCATGAAATATAATTTCGTTCCCGATTATCTCGATTGCACCGAAATTTTTCGTACAATTTTTTTCCCTGTACATATGAATGTCCTAATAAATTTTGCAACAAGATGAAGAAATTATAGAATTATTAAAAGGGTAGGCGGAAAAAATGACCGGTCATTTTGTCAACTACCACACACAACGCGTGTTACCACCCATCAGTTATTTTTTTCTTCGGCTATTTTTTCGTACACTCCATTAAAAAATTGCGTGCTATTTTTCTCATGAAATCAAAGGCGAAACAATTTTTATTAGCAAATTCTACTGTCCCCATGGTGCGTGAGTGTGGATTAAAAGAAATAACTATTCACTCGATTAATCGAGAGAATCAAAGCTTTCCAAGTTAAAAATTACGTTAAAAAGAGAAAAATCCAGAGGGAGAAAAAAGTTCCGGTTTTTAGAGATCTGCCACCTTAACAATTTAATAATTTTCTACGTGTTTATTCTTTGCCTCACTTTTGTCCATGATTGTAAATGAAGATTTATGAACTACAATTTCGCTCCCCGATTATCTAGATTGTACAGTAATTTTTCGTGCAATTTTTTTCTCCGTACATATATATGGCTTTCGTGATCAATTTTGTAACGAGATAAGAAAATTATAAAATTATTCAAATATTA